GGAACCTACATTCTGTTTTGCGTTTGGTGCAAATGTTCTTGGTGTGGCACTCACATGAGATAGGTACCCACGTTGCTGCAAAATACAAGCTGAGGTAGCTCAGCTTTCTAGGATGGCTCCAAAATGAAGAGTTTTCTTAATTAGCGAAGTGAAGATCTTGCTAGTTAAATTGTTTTGTGTCTATTTGTAAAAGGAAGAATAAAATGCATTTCATTCACTCTTTTTCTGCCTGTATATTTGGTCAAATAAATATTAAAGTCTAACTGGCTGATTTCGTCAGTATATACAAAAACCTGGTGGCATGCCAGGCCCTTTGCTCCGCGCTCTGGGCTAGACAAAGGTAAAGATGCGGGAGAGCCTGACTTCAAGCCACTTCAAGTTCAATGGAAAATGGAGATGGGATAAAATGCATTTTATATATTATGCAAATGCGGGGGCAGAACTGGGAAGAGGCAAGTGAGGTATTTAAGAAAAGTTCTATCAAAGATTAGTAATCACTTTCAACTGAGGGGAGTTTCCTGAAGGTTGTGGCACGAGTTGACTTAAAAGAAAGAACAAGACTTTGATCGAAATGGGTGGGAAAGAAAGGTTTCCTACATAATTGAGAATAATAATAATAACATTTACTGAGCATTTACTGAGTGCTTATGGTGCAATGGGTTTTAAATACCTAAATGCTCTCTATGTAATTCACTAATTAAATACTACTCGGTTTTACATAGAAATGAATCACTGTCTTACACAAAGCTTCCTGGGTACTTCAGATCCGCTTTAACAACATAGTTTCCAAAATAGTAATCATATTTTAGGCAGATGATAGAGTTTTTATTCTAATTGTAATAAAAATTTCCTTTTATTTCATACTTAAGTGGGAATTATGCTTCAGTGGTGATTTTTAAAAGTTATTTAATTTCCTTAATAAATAAGTTTATTTTTCCTAGTGTTATCAAAAGACTACCAGAACTTAGCATATAAGGTATAAGATCTCTTTAATACAAAAATTGCAAAAAGATAATTTATCTATAAAGATAAATTCAGTTTTGCATGGTCTTGGTGCAGTATTCAAATAAATGCCTATGTTGTAAAATATAAATTGACTAGCTCAGCTTTCTAGAGAAGGCAACTTATACTTCATAAGAATTTAGGCAACTAATTGTTAATAGGCGGTAATACATTTTTTCTTGAACACTCTTAGAAAACAAAAGGCAAAAATATTATTAAAATGTTGACAACTGTTCAGAGAAATTCGCCTGAAGAAAACAAAGTAGTTAGCTCCCATGAAGGAGGGCTGAATTCCTTATTTCAAAAGAGTTAGGTTACCTGCTATTTGGTGGGCAGAAAAATTTTTAAAAAAGTCTTTTCTTCCAATAGCCCAAATACCTATTTCATATTTCATTATTTCATGATTCACTGTATATTGTTTCATGCTATAAGTATTTATCAAGCATGGAAAATGTTCATAATGTGTTCATGGCTGATGTGACCACTTTTTTAAACCAAGTAAACAACATTCACAATAGGTAGAAATGACAGGCTTCATGCTTATAATAAAATTGGTTAAATTAAGTCATCCATGAATACAGTTGAACTGTCTTTAAGTATGAAGAGTAAGCAAAAATATGAATCACAAAACAAGCTGTTAAGCAATCTCTGATTATATTCTGCCAAAAGGGATATTTAAAAAAAAAAATAACGTGAAGTTTTATGAATCAATGCATCTACAAAAAAGTAAAGATTCTGCTTTCCCAATTTAAGAAATCACATATAGCTAAAATTAACAAAAGTATAATTCCTCCCCATGAAAGTATGTTGTTTAAAAGGAAGTGTAGGGTAAATTCTACTTATAGTTGCGTGTGATCTACCACATGTTAAAAATTTACCTTTTGTCGCAAACTAATTCTGGTGTCTAGTTTAGATATCAACTGAATAAATATTTCCAGAGTGGCATCAGGGAAATGATTAGCAAGAAGTACAGCTCAGGAAGTATAGTCTATGTGGTGAAGGAACAGAAATATTCTGTGAATCAACAAAAGGACCCCGTAGATATTTTCTGTCCCTCTCTCTGATTAACCGAAGGTAACCTGCAACATTTTCACTAACAGACAATTGTTGTTGATGGAATTTTGGGTTAAAGGAAAATTATGGTGCCTTGTGACCTACACTTAAGTCTCATTCTCACTGTGTGGGTTTAAATATTTCAACTGGATTGAGTCAACTGAAGCCCGTGTGAGAATTTCCTAATCTCTGATCTACTGATTCATGTGGATGTGTTATGAATGCCATAAAGTCCTATGCGGATTTTGACAGGCTTATATATCCACGAAGAGAAATTTTAAAAAATGTATAATCTGATGATACAACTCATAGTAATTTTTGAATAATTAGCCCTACCTAAGAGCAAATACGATCATTCGAGAGTGGTTTTACTGATTGGCTTAACTGAGGATCTGATCAATATCAGAAGTGAACCCTGTTTTCCTTGGCTCACAGACTTTCCCCTTTTGTCCTGATGTCAATGAATCCCGGTGCTGTTGTGATGGCCGTTGGGGGTGGGTGAAGTATGGATGTTTCATTTGTCCTGGGAAATGAAATATGTGCTCGCCAACTCTGTTTAGCAGCCTCTCTGTGTGGATGGCAGGCATAATGATCTGATGTATGGACATGAGCAAGTGGTTCCTTAATTGTCCACCCAGATGGTCCTCTCAGAATTTTTCCAGCTTCTGTGTTTGATCACAAATGAAAAATGAAAAATTTCAACATGTACAGATAATTAAAAAGATGGAGAAAGAGCAACAGAAAATTTAAAAAATATATATTTTATTGATTTTTTACAGAGAGGAAGGGAGAGGGATAGAGAGTTAGAAACATCGATCAGCTGCCTCCTGCACACTCCCCACTGGAGATATGCCCGCAACCAAGGTACATGCCCTTGACCAGAATCGAACCCGGGACCCTTCAGTCCGCAGGCCGACGCTCTATCCACTGAGCCAAACCGGTCAGGGCGCAACTGAGAAATTTTTTACGCTAATGAGAGTAACAAGAACTGTGTCAAAGGACAGGGAGCTAAGTGGGTAGTAGTGTGTTAGTGTCAAAAGCCCATCACAAAAATGGGACAAGTGCCCAGTAGGAAGAGAAAGAGACATGAAACCAACAGAAGTGTGTCTGTGTATTTATCTTAAAGGTGGGGGTCAGAATGTATAGATTCTAAATATAAACTCAATATTGGGTCAACATATTGGATAGTGTTTTCAAGATTGTTGTAATGAGATAATATTTACATTATACTTAGAAAATAAACCAAATGTAGATATTTATGCTCTTTTGATTCTATTCAAAGCAACAAAATGATACCATCATCTCTATGTGACTCACATGCAAAATGGAATACATATATCTGTGTGGTCTACCGACGGGAAATAAAATCAGATATTTCACTTTTAGCTTCATCAAGCAAAAGAAAAATCTGTTGTGATTCCAAGAATAAAGGAACTCGGGAAGGAAATATTTGTTTTACAGCTTTCAGAGTGAAACATCAATGGCTTGCTGTAAAAAGTGTCAAATGCCAGCGCATATCTTTGTTTTTTCAACAAAATCAAAACTGGCACATTCATATTTGAGAAATGGCATGAATATTTAAATTTCCTTCTGTGTATATAAAATATAAAGTTCAGGTGTCATTGAAAAACAGCACCTCTTGTATTTTGAGCTCTACATTGTTAAGCTGTCAACTTCTTGATGACCAAAAAGATACCTGGCTTACTCTTTCATGTGCTTTTTTGGGACTTACTCGATCCTGTCTGTTTTATTTTTGTAGATAGGTATAACCTTAGTTTATTTGTTCAGTTTATTTTAATTTCTAAACTTGAATTTTGTAATCTAGAAGTATATGCCAAGTTGTGAAGGTTTTTTTGTTTTGTTTTGTTCCTGTTTTCAGATTTGTTTTTATGGGACTAGGATATTTTGTGAGAAGAGGATAATAAATATGTATTAGTTTAATTACTACAACTGTTTGATCAAATATTTGATGTGGGGATTGGACAGGGGGATTGAGTAAAAGTGAACGAAGGAGTTTCCTATTAAAACAAATTTAGGAAGAAAATGCTGCTTCTATTGGCTTCTGCCCGTCAACGGCAGGGGAAATTTGAAGTCTTTTAAACATGGGGACACAAGATAAAAACATCAATCCTACCCTTAGATGTTTCTAAGTGGTTGTATGTTAGACAGTGTAGATAAAGCCTTTATATATGTCATCACAAAAAAGGTTTACTTTGGATGGCAAGTCCAGAAACTCAGCTGTGCTGAGTACTGTGAGTGTAAAGGCATATCCACACAGGGCTGCTTAGAATTTCTGCATTTCATGTTCGGGGTTGGGTAACCGAAATCATTAACATAGATGTTCTTTACATTTACCTTCCACACAAAGGTTTTTGTAAACTGGTTTTGAAGAAAGAGGTGGGATCGTAAAAAGGAGAAATAAAAGATATTATTTGGTATGCATGTGTGACACACAGGTTTATGGATATGTTCTGCCTTATGAATACTATGACAAATGACAGAGAAGAGAGTGCACGTCACTATCTCTGTTCTATCTATGTACTGCCAGTGGGCAAAGATTTCTCATTTCATACATCATTTACAACTTCCTACAGTAATTTTACACAGCTCATATCCTGGGAACCAGGCATAGCAATTATCTATACACATATATGCATGCAGGCAGCCTGAACCATGCAGTTCTAAAGAGAGTTCCAGAGTTCACACACTCCAACCAATAAAAGTTGGCAAAAGCCAGGAAGTTGTCCAATTAGAAAACTTTCCTATTTTAACTGATGCCCCAGTGTTACCTCTGAAACAAGCTGTTTCAGGAGGTCTTCTTTTAGACTACTGTTTGTCAGAATAAAATAAGATTTTCAGCTTTCCCAAACACTTTTGTGTTCCTAAAAGAAAAAAAAAATCATATGTCTTTTTCTATTCACTTTTACTCTTTTGCTCCTAAATAGACTAAGAAAAATACAATATTGCATTCTGTAATGGATAAAGGAACCTAAAAATACAGATTTCCAATTGAAAATGTGAGTACATATTAAAGTTTGACACCATTTTGTTATTTGGGACTTTCTAAAATTATTTTACGTTATCATCGTTTTCCCACTTTTTCATCTAATACAGTACACCTAACATTTAGAAAGATTGTGAATTTCTCAGTCATACATAATTCATAACCTCTAGAAATAAATTTTGGATTCTTGCATGTGTTATTGATAATCCACAATTAATATTTAATTCTTGAATTTCTAACTTTTTTCAAATTTTATTATTTTTCATCCACAATACAGATAACTGCATGTATTAGTTTTCTATTGTTGTAAAAGAAACAAGAAATTACTTGAAAAGTAGTAGCATAAAACAACAGAAGTTTGCTATCTAACCATTTATTTGGATCAGGAATCTCAGCACAGATTAGCTATGCCCTCCGAAAGGCTGCGGTCAAGGCCTTGGTCAAGGAGCCATTTCCACATTCACTGAGGTTACTGCCATTATTCATTTCCATATGGCTGGAGGACTGAGGGCCTCATTTTCTTGCTGGCTGTCAGCTGAGGTGCTTGCAGGCTATTGCAGACTGGATGCTCCCCTCAGTTCCTATTGGCTGCCCTCAGGTTTTTTTGTGTGTTTTTTAAAAATATTTTATTGATTTTTTACAGAGAGGAAGGGAGAGGGATAGAGAGTTAGAAACATGGATGAGAGAGAAACATTGATCAGCTGCCTCCTGCACACCCCCAACTGGGGATGTGCCCGCAACCAAGGTACAATGCCCTTGACCGGAATCGAACCTGGGACCCTTCAGTCCGTAGGCCGATGCTCTATCCACGGAGCCAAACCGGCTAGAGCTGTTTGTTTTATTTTTGTTTGTTTGTTTGTTTTACCATGTGGGCCTTCCAACATGACTGCTTGCTTCATCAAAGCCAGCAAGAATGAGAGAGACTCCTGCCAAATGGGACCTCTGGTCCTCTGTGACACAATCACATCATCATTTACATGTCACTAGGGACATCCCATTTCTTTCGCCGTATTCTATTTGTTAAAAGCAAGTCACAGGTCTCATCCATACTCAAGGAAAGGGGATCCCACAAGGTCATGGACATCAGGAGGTAGGGAAGATAGGGGACACTTTAAGAGCCTGTCTTCCATAGTACATAAAGCTAACAGTCTAGGTCAGGGGTTCTCAACCTTCCTAATGCCGCGACCCTTTAATACAGTTCCTCATGTTGTGGTGACCCCCAATTTCATTGTTACAAATTGAACATAATTAAAGCATAGTGATGAATCACAAAAACAATATGTAATTATAAATGTGTTTTCCGATCGTCTTAGGCGACCCATGTGAAAGGGTCGTTCGACCCCCAAAGGGGTCGTGACCCACAGGTTGAGAACCGCTGGTCTAGGTATTAGCAATTCACTTTCGCATAAATACATAAACTAAAGTAAAAAAAGTAAGGTAGAATTCAAATATCATTGCCTGGAAATTAGGATAGTTGCTGTTAGCAAGTTGTATGACACTCAGTAACCTGAGTCACCTCTCTGGACCCAGAAATGATTGGGTCCACATTTCAATATTGGGGGTGGTGGTGGATTGGACTAAATTGATTGCTAAACACCTTACCAGCTCCAGACTTCTACAAGGCCTAGAATATTTGAAATATATATAATATTTGGAATATGAACTACATGTTTTACTTTTTACCCCAGACATTTATCCAGAAGTTTAAGTCTTCTTAATGGCTTTATCACAAAGACTAAATTGATCAGGATTTCAATTTAATTTAAATGCATTTTTGTTTGAATGTCTACTCTAAACAAGTTATGGGAAGTGGAAGAGTTCATGGTCAAGCAGTTGGGTTCTATAGTTAGATGCTTGAGGTCAAGTTTCAGCTCTTCCTCTTATCAAATGAGTGACATTGGGCAAAATATTTAATTTCTCTTCATCGAGAATGTGAAGTGATAATAGTGCCTAACTTATATTATTGTTGCCTCACAAACATAAATTATTTTATAAATATTAGCTTTGTAGATTTTATCATCATAACAATATAATGTGTCATTATATTAGGCAAGGAAAATACATACAAAGAACTCTGCCTTCAAAAAACTGACAGAAATGGTGCTTTATTGAAATATTTTCCCTTGTACGTAAAATATGCCATTATAAAAATGTTTTATTACCCTTGAGGTTTATTGATAACCAGGATATAGTTGAAATTCCTGTTGAATTTGATAAATATGGTTATATTAATAATTGAATAATTTCTGTTGGACTTTATCCAACATTCCCAGAAAGAACTAACTAGGGCAAGTTATTTTTAATGTAAAAATAATATCTGCTTAATGAAATGTTCATTTTGATTCTATATATTCTGTTCCTTCACGTGCCGGATTTCCAGGTACAACACTTCATGGTTATTAATAAATGGGCCATACATAAATTATGCATTAAGAAAAAATGAAAAAGTATTGAGCATTCTTTTTGCTCGTTAAAGGAAACGGTTTCATTGTCTGACATTGAAGACAAGACAGTCAGTATAATTTCATAGAATGACAAGGGGCCAGATTCACACCCCAACTCATCTTTCAAATTCTCTTTTGTTCTCTACACAGAAAAATCACGCAGAATGAGAAACAACCATGGAGGGACAACCGTTTTGCTCTGGAGGAGAATTATTACTCACACACCTTTTTCTGAAGCTGTTTTTACAACATGGTCTTAGGTTTTCAGTCTTTAAAGCTGCAAAAGTCAGATACTGAAAAGCTCCAATGAAAGTGGGCATCAGACAACCTCATAATATGAATGTAACAGCGTGGCAAATATTGATGGCTCATGAATATGTGGGTGCCTCTGGAGGGAATTTGACCACTGAGATGAATGAAAGTACATATACTGATAAGTCTCTCCTTTACTTTTACCTTCAAGGAGAGAAAAGGAACTATCAGAGGAGATGAGAAGAGAAATACTCAATAGTGCATTCTTAACTGGTGAAAATCACACCAAATACTTTTGAGTATGCCCCACAATCTGAAATTGTCTTTTTTCTTTACTGATTTCCATTTCTGTTGCATCTTCCCATTTAGAATGTTGTATCTAAGATGGCAAGGATTTTGTATGTTTTGTTTTTTATTTTAACTCACTTCCTAAAATTGTGCAAGGCCATTGTAGGTGCTCAATAAAATATTACGCAATGAATGAATGAAGAGTCAAGAGGTTTCAATTCTAGTTTTTCTTGACCCTTAATAAAATGATGGAGTAGACTAGATGGCTAACGTTTCTTGCAGCACACTAATACTCACTGACAGTATGCATGTTTCTAGGGTTCATATAATAACCAACTAATATTTTATTTTCTTTCATTTTATTAAATTTATTGGAGTGACATTGGTTAACAGGGTTTAATATATGTTTCAGATGTACAATTCTATGATACATGATTTGCATACTGCATTGTGTGCCTACCAGCCAAAGTCAAATCTTCCATCACCATTTACTTGACCCCTTTAACCTTTGCTAGCACTTCACACCCATTCCCTCTGGTAACCACCATACTGTTGTCTGTGTCTATGTGCTTTTCTTGTTTGTTCATTTGTTGCATTCAGTTTTATATCCCATATATGATTGAAATCACATGGTTCTTAACTGTATTTGTCTGTATTTGTCTGACTTATTTCACTTAGTATAGTATTTTCAACGTCCATCCATGTTGTTGCAAATGGCAGTATTTCAGTATTTTATTGTATATATGTCCCACACCTTCTTTATCCAATCATCTACCAAAAGACACTTCAATTGTTTCCATGTCTTCACCACCGTAAATAATGCTACAATGAACATAGGGGTGCATGTATCTTTGCGAATAAATGTTTTTAAAATTTTGGGGTTGATATCCAAAAGAGGGTTCTCTGGCTCATCTGGTAACTCTATTCTTAATTTTTTGAGGGACCTTTATACGGTTTTCCATAGTGGCTGTACCAGTTTACATTCCCACCAGCAGTGAATGAGTATAACCAACTAATACAATTTTTTATAGGAAACTTCACTTATGTAATAGATTTTATTTGACCAATCTTTTTATTTCTGAAACATTTCTCCAAGATGAAATTATTTATGATATTAATTAGCAATGTTCTTATTAAGTCTGCATTTTATTCCTGACTAAACTATATATATTTTTTGTCTGACAAGTCTCTTTTTGGTTAGTTAGATTCCCAAATAAGGTGAAATAAAAGATTATCCAAAGTTTACACTGGGGATTCTTTTTAAAGAATGTTCAGTTTTTTAAATGGTGAATTTCTAGAAAATTCTAAATATGGATAGATATATTTGGTGGAGAAAAGAGAATTAAAAGATACCTAGTTGTTTCCAAATTTAGCAGTGCTATGAACACCTGGATGAGTTGACATTAAAGAAATCTTCATTTATCTTTTTTTGTGTGTTCTGTGTGGTAAATGTAAATTCATTATTATACTAAACATGTTTTGAATGGATTGGTTAACCGATTATAACTTCACCACATAGTCAGGTGATTGAATTCACAACTGTGGGGAGGTATTGCTGATAGCGGAGAAAAAATTTGGGTTCCTTTTGCCCCTTTTGAGTATGGTTTAATTTTTAATTGTTCATGTGTATCTTTTAATAAGACCAATGTATAAAATTCCAAATACACTTTATTTCAAATATAAACACCTAAATATGGTTACAAAGATACTTAAAATTTATTATAATAAAATAGTTTCAGTCTTTGGTTTTGCTATTATAATTGTAAATAGGAATGTGAAAAATGAATAAGCAGTAGGGGATAAAGAGTGCTATAATATTCATATTTAAAGAATATTATTATATTCATATTTTAAAACTATGTCCTTTATTTAGTTGAATTTACTTGCTAATTCGATCTCCAATGCTATTAAGTATTGTTTGCAGGTTTCTAAATTCTGGGCAAATGTATGCATAGAAAATTGTGGGCTTATAAAACTTGAAAACATTTATGTTAATCATTTTTATTGACATGTCTTCCCTCTAGACCATTAGAAAGTAAAGGTAGTCAAAACCAAAGCTCCAAAGAGGAAAAATGAAACTAGTAAACTCTACTGACGTTTAACTTCCTAAGACTTTCAGCATACAATTTGCCCGTACAGGTTCCATTAAAGTTAATGGGAGTCGTGTGACTAACCCTCTCTGTAGGGCACTAAAAATGTACCCTGCAGTATTAAAAAGTCTGAACCTAATTTTTACTTTCTCTTAACCTTGATTATGTTACACTAAAGATAGATACCTTCATTATCACACACGTATATAGTAAAGTTTATATAAAGATTTGAAAGTAATCTATTTGGGGGAAAGGTTTAATTTATGTGGGTCAGAGTAGAATTTTAATTAGTTTTGCAAATAAGAGCACTGCTTTCATTATAATGATAAAACAAGCATGAGTATCTGTAATTTAGCCTCTAGCTATACAAATGAGAACTTAAACCTCGATGAATTCAATAAATGAAACATTTTCAGAACGCTTACTTAAAATCAGGTCTACTTTTTAATCAGTCATGTTTTAAGTGAATGCTTATTAATAGGTCATTAATAAAACATGCTTATGGAATGAGATTTCAAGAAAGAGGTGAGATGAATAAAAAGCAAAGAACGTAAAAGATCTAATGGATAATTTTTCATTTTGGTTAAACAATTTAGTTTTCGTAAGTTACATATATATTTCATATTAAAAAGTGAATTCTCAATCTTCTTTTAGTTATATACGAAGATAAAACACTACAGATAACGCTGCCTGTGATTTCATGACCTTTTTATATTGCCCAAGTTCCCTCAGCTTTTGACATTCAAACTAAAATATTAATCTCATTTTTCCCTTTCAATAATTTCTGCCTGACTTCTATCACAACCTGGGGAATGCAGTTATAAGGTTTTATTTTTTAGGTTTTTTAATTGAATCTATTTGGATGACATTGGTTAATAAAATTATATAGGTTTTAGGTGTACAATTCTGTACATCATCTGTATATTGTATTGTGTGTTCACCACCCAAAGTCAAGTCTCCTTCCATCACCATTTATACTCCCTTTACTCTTTTCTACCTTCCCCTTCCTCCTTTCTTTCTAGTAATCACCACACCAGTTTTAAAGAATGCAAAAAGAAATGCAACACTATAGACATGAATAAATACCCCACCATCTATTTGTCACTGAAATCAGCAGCTATGCTACAATAAAGGGACACGCACAAATTATTTCCTAAGCACAAAGAACACGAGGGAAAGGCAGGCAATACTGCAGAACAATAAATAAAGCAGAACACCCTCCAAGGGCTCGGAATTTAGTTTGGATAACCTTCCAGGAGGCAGAATCCTTCCCCGACACCAACATAAACTGCAATTAGGACTGATCTTTTTATGTTACACATCTGTCTTCTCTGGATTTTTATCACAAGATTCTCTGTGTCCAAATTACGATAGAATCTCATGAGTTTCACGGGCTTGGGAGAATAGCTACTATTACAAATAAATTCACCGTTTCCAAGTTATGGAACCTATGTCAGACATTTAGCTGTTGAACTTCATCAGGTTTCTGGAGTCCTTGGAGCTCACGGTCCCATTGCTTAGAATTCTCTTAGAAGCTTGCAACTGGTGCAGTTTTGTGCTGCAACTTGCCTCCCTGGTTTGCAGGCTCCCCACTGGAAGCTGGAAGCATCCAAACTACCAGGGCCCTCTGGACCATGGGATTCCCATTTTCAGGCTGATTTGCGGCACAGACCTCCAAGCGACAGAGGCAGAGACTTTTTTCAGTCCTTGTTACACATAAGTCACTCACAATATGAGAGCATGGAAACATTAAGTGTCACCTCCAGGAGATATGGGCTCTACCAATACCTAACTAAACCACTTAGCTCACGGGTTTAGCACGTTTCCAATCTGAATCGCTCTGGTTCCTGACCTGACTTGACAAGGCACCACTCTTTCTCCCCTTTGAAGGACATAATTGGTGCCCCTTGGATTAAAATAATTTTTTCCACACAAATAGCTTTTTCCCTTTGAATTTTGAAAGGAATGAAAACCGTGTTTCAGATTTAGTAATGCCCTTTGAGATCACTGGAAATACTCTAGGACGCTGGGATTGCTTGTCACTACTTAAAAGCAATGTTACGGGTGTATTTGTACTTTGGGATTTTATTAGAACAACAGGCTGAGTTGAGAAGACCGCAGCTAATGTCCTAAGACTATGCATCGTGAAATGTCATACCAGCACCGTGTTGGGGTTTAGTAGATGGACTGATCCTTTCTCATGAGGACAGCCTCTCTCCGGTGGATTTTAGGCCGGGTCCTCTTCTTACCAGCACTCCAACTCTGTGACTCCACTTCCACTTCCCGGTCTGATGCACCTCCCCCTGAGCCTGCTTTGGTTCATGGTCATACCGCCCTTCTTTTGTATCAAGCTGGCAAGTGCTCCTCTCTTCCTCATACAGCACCCAGAGTATACCGCAACTCTTCCCTAGGAGCCTGCCTCTCTCGTGACGCTGTAAGCACCCCAGGGCCAGGAACCATCTTTCAGCCTGTCTCACCATGTGTGCGCAAACCTAACTGAGCGGAATAGCATGGGATACCTGCAGCCAGAAGGTTCTCAGTCTTTCAATCTATAATAGCCACACATTGACTTTTTAAGTAGAACTGCTTTGCATGAAAAAGCCTCTGACAAGGCTCTTCTTTCAGGTCAGCTATTTCAGCCCAAATGAGCTCTTCTGTAATTCTGTGCTGCATGTCAAGGTTGTCTTTCTGCCCCATTACACGACGTTCTGTGCTGAAACCTTCTGCAGCACGTGGCCTCCGTGGTGCCTGCCGCTGGGGCTGTCTCTGCATTTCCTCTTCCCTGGGCGCCTGTTCCAAGTCCCTGGTGGCAGTGGAAGCCGGCGGCCCTGGCACAAAGAGCCGCCTTTGCAGTCTCCCCTGTGGCGGGGCTGCTGGGCCGCATTACCACGTGCTATGTGGTGTTTCAGTTCACCCCAATTTGCCCTTTGGGAACTGCTGTGAAAACTCCTTTTGTACAGTAAATCATGACAGCATTTGGTCTTCATTTAGGGGTGAATGCATGGTTTATATATTAAGGCCATTTCTTTTTTCCCTTCAGAAATACCATGTGGCATCAATTTGTTTGTAAGCACGAATCAAATGGCAGTTTGGGATCTTCCAGATGA